GAATAACAAGAGTTCTCAAAAAATTTACTGAAACAACAACGTGAGTGGATGGACTCAATGTTCCAAAAACAATGTACTGCCGGTGTATCTGAAAGAAATCACAACATTGTTCCAGTATTTCACAAATTTTCGAAAGAACAGCAAACCTGGGAATCGTACTTAGAACAACTTAACCAACATTTTTTAGCATATTCAGTTCAGTGCAGTGAAAAACTTAAATCATTTTTCTTGTCTTGGATTGGCACAGAAAATTTTGAGCTGCTAAAAAATCTTTTCCGTAATACGAAAGTACAAGAACAATCTTTCGAAAATTTAATGGAAAAACTAACGGATCATTTCCAGTCGAAACGACATGTGGTCGCTGCACGTTACGATTTTTTCAAAAGGGAAATGAAGCCACATCAATCATACAGAGAGTGGGTAGCAGATCTCCGCGGATTGGCAAGAGAGTGTAACTTTTCGTGCTCAGCCCAGAATTGTTTGCACACTTTCGTGGATGATATGATTCGTGACCAAATTATTATACGTACACCTCACGATGCTGTGCGCACGGCTGCGTTCCAAAAGCCCCAGCCAACACTTGCTGATGTTTTGCAGATTGCAGAATTGTACGAAACAACCACTAAAACGGTGGCAACAATTAAAGAACAAACCGGGTGTTTTCAACAATAACAATAACAAAGTAAAATTCAAATCATGTTCTGGCTGTGGAAACTCTCATGCAAGTGAAAACTGTAAATTTAGAAATGCTGTATGCAATAGATATAGCAAAATTGGACATATTGCGCCAGTGTGCATGTCAAAACAAAACAAGAACAACAAACATAATTCAGGTGATGAAAACAAGAAGAAAGACTACCGTCGTAAAAGTCACAACATTGGTACTGTTGAAACAATTAACAGTTTAACAGGTATTGTAAAAACTGAAAGCAATAAGAATTACATTGACTTGGAAATTTGTAATAAAATTGGGTCTTTCCAAATGGATTCTGGTGCAACAGTTTCTCTAATAAATAAGCGTACATTCAAAACTCTAAATTGCCCAAAATTGCGAAATTGTACAAAAACCTTATTTGGTTTTGGCAAAAATGAAATTCCAGTGCTTGGTGAACTTTGCGTAGATATCAAATGTGGCGGAAAAGAAAGGGAAGTGGTAATCGTTGTCGTGGATGTCGAAAACTGTAACAATTTATTCGGTTTCGATTTATTTAAAGAATTCGGGTTTGAGATTCAACAAATTTGTAACATTTTTGAAAGTGAATCACACAGAATTAGCGAGCTGTGTAAGAAATATGGTGATATTTTTGAACCAGCTCTTGGCACAATAAAAAACTTTAAGGTCAGTATTTTTTTAAAGCCAAATGCACATCCGAAATTTTACAAAAGCCGACAAATTCCATTTTCGCAAATGTCACTTTTCAAGAAAGAAGTCGATCGATTGACAAATGCGGGTATTTGGAAACCTGTGAAGTTTTCCCAATGGGCTTCGCCTATTGTACTAGCGCCAAAAGCTGATGGTTCCATAAGAATTTGTGGAGATTTTAAACAAGCAGTCAATGCGCAAATTGACATTGAACAATATCCTTTGCCCATACGCGAAAGTCTTTTCCATAAAATTAATTGCGGTCAACATTTTACAAAAATCGACCTTAAGGACGCGTATTTACAAATGGAACTTGACGATGAAGCAAAAACAATAATGGTTGTCAACACTCCACTTGGGTTATTCCAATACCAACGTTTACCGTTTGGGATTGCAAGCGCTCCAGCTATATTCCAAAGATATCTTGAGCAGTTACTTCAAGGCGTAGAAGGTTGTGGAAATTATCTCGATGACATCATCATCTCCGCACCTACATTTCAACAACACATCAGCCGCCTAGAACAAGTACTTCGTATTTTGCAACAAAATGGTATCAGGTGCAAGCAAGAAAAATGTTTCTTTCTGCGAGATAAAATCGAATATCTCGGGCGTCAAATTAGTGCAAAAGGTACATTGCCAGATGAGTCAGGACTAAAAGCAGCCGCCTAAAGATCTAAAGCAAGCAGAAGCATTCATGGGTAAAGTAAACTACTACCATAATTTTATACCTAATTTTTCGCAATTATCCGCGCCAATCAACATGCTGCGCCGAAAAAATGTAAAATTCACATGGGGTACAGCACAACAACAAGCATTTATAGCTCTTAAAACGCATATTCTCAATGCAGCGCAATTAGCACATTATCAGGAAGATTTACCGTTGGTTCTAGCTACAGATGCCTCCTCCTATGGCATAGGAGTTGTGCTCTCTCATACGTACGTTGACGGTACAGAAAGGCCTATTGCTTTTGCATCTAAAACTCTCGACATTCATCAACGACGATATAGTCAGATAGAGAAGGAAGGGCTAGCTATCGTTTTTGGAGTCAAGCGTTTCCATCAATATTTATACGGAAGAAGATTCACCTTGGTTACTGACCACAAACCTCTTGTTAGCATTTTTAATCCAATTCATCAGTTGCCGTCGATGACGTCACATCGTTTACAGCGATGGGCTATTATACTAATGGCTTATCAGTATGATGTTCGGTATCGTAAAACTACTGAGCATGGAAATGCCGATGCTTTATCTCGTTTACCTGTTGGTGAAGATAAAACTTTTGATCATGAAGAATCTTGTTTCAACATCAATGAACTTAACACACCTATTGACGCTGAAATAATTCGTCAGCATGCCAAAAATGACCCAATTCTTCGCCGAGTTTATTTTCTCGTTACAAACGGTTGGCCTGAAAAGCTAATGCCTCAAGATGCTGATCTTCGATCATTTTTCAATCATCGCTTTGCTTTAATACTAAACAACAATTTGCTTTGCCTCCAGACGGAGTACAACCGGGTTGTCATTCCAGCCTCCCTTAAGCAGAAAATTCTTAAACTTCTTCATGATGGTCATTGGGGAGTATCGAGAATGAAACAGCTAGCTCGACAACATGTCTGGTGGACTAATATTGACAAAGACATCGCACAATTAACTGAAAATTGTGATGTGTGCAAAATTGCAAATCCTGTTCACACACGTGAATACTTAAGCTGGCCTGAAGCTGATCGACCTTGGGAGAGAGTACATATCGACTTTGCTGGTCCATTTTGTAATTCAATGTGGCTAATTTGTGTCGACGCTTTCTCGCAATTTCCGTTCGTTGTACAACTATCTACAACAACAACGGTTGACACCGTATCAGCATTGTCTTCTATATTTTCTCTGGAAGGTATACCAGAAACCATCGTAAGTGACAATGGTCCGCAATTTACAGCTGAAGCATTCAAACATTTTTGCTCAAAACTTGGCATCAAACATATAACAACAGCGCCGTTTCATCCAGCCTCAAACGGGTTAGCCGAACGATTCGTCAGATCTTTTAAAACTGCTGTTAAGAAAAACATTGACGATGGATTGTCTCTCAAATTCGCTGTATCAAAATATCTTGCAACATATCGTGCAATGCCGAATGCTGAAGGTAAATCACCTGCAGAACTTTTACATGGAAGGCCTGTTCGTACCTTGTTGAGTCAACTGTTTGAATCGCCTAGGAAGCACCTTGAAGCTTCGAAACGGAAAATGAAATTTAGTCTAAAGCAACCCGTCTTCGCTCGAAACTACGCAAGAGGGGAAAAATGGATAAAAGGAGTTATTGTGAAACAACTTGGTAAAATGGTTTACCGAGTGAACACATCTTTTGGTTACATCAAACGTCATGTTAATCAGCTTAAAACTAGAAGTAGCTCTGACCTCTCTTCACAACCAATTTTTGAATTCGCTCCAAATTTCATCAATGCCACACCGCCTTCATCTAGCCAATCAACATTAATGCCTAGTGAAGAACGTTCTACCGAAGTAGTTCAACTTCGAAAAAGTGGTCGTATTCGGAAGGATGTTAATCGATTTGAATCCGACGATTTCAGGAAAACTCAAACTTTGTCAAAAATTAAGGGCGGAGAAAGTGTTATAATCTAGTATGTTTTGCATTAGTTTAAGCAATCTTAAATAATGAAATGTAAACAAAATTTAGTGAAATATAAACTGTCAATCTTGTCGGTTGTATTTACTTCACTTTATATTCTAGATTTAACACTAGAATTAATATTACAACATTTGTATAATTACAACACACAAATAACTACACTGAAAATGTATTTATAAAATGTGAAAAAAGAATAATTATTGTTAATCTGTTTCTCATTAAAAGCTCCATGTTTGAATCAATTAACCTACGCCATTATACATTAACGCATCAATAATTAAGTAAACACATTGCATGCGTGCCTAATTGAGTAATTACGGTTAATTACACAATTAATTTCTTAAATTTCCATCATCAAAACCTTATAAAAGGTAAAGAAAAAAATACCAAAATTTATTTTCACTTAAGTGAATATGGACGCAGTAGCAAGTACAGATTTTTTCAAGCCACATTGGCTGTGCTGGAAAATTTTGGGTATAGCACGACAAAAGGTCAAAAATAAATCAGCTTATTTACTTTACGGCATCATACTGAATATTGTGGTTACTCTTTATTATCCTATACATTTGTTAATGTCATTATTTCAAAATCAAACGGCAACGGATAATTTAAAAAATTTTGCAATTAGCGTTACGTGTACCGCATGTACCTTAAAGTTTCTCATCTACGCCATCAAATTGGATAAGGTACGTGAAATGGAAATGCTACTAGAGAAGTTGGATGCCAGAGTTCAAAGTGTGGATGAAAAGCAGGAATTTGGAAAATTGCGTACAGATATGAGAAATATTGCTTACAGTTTTGTTATAATTTATTTTCCAGTCATTGTGACTGGTAGCTTGTCAGTGATTTTAAAAGAGGAACGTAATCTATTATATCCTGCTTGGTTTCCATTTAATTGGCGTGAATCCATATTAAAATATTTATTGGCCAGTTTGTATCAAATGGTGGGTATAAGTTTCCAGCTACTACAGAATTATGTCGATGATTGTTTTCCTTCGATGGCACTTTGTTTATTATCTGGACATATTAAAATTTTGGGCATGAGAGTGTCAAAGATTGGTTACAGTGTGACAAAAATCGCCGATAATGAGTTAGAATTAGACAAGTGTATAAAAGATCAAAATAATCTATACAAGTTAGTTAAGTAACTACTTATTTCTTATAAAATTTACAAAACTATTTAAACATTTTCTTCTAGACTTTTCGATTTAATTCAGGATATCACTTCACTACCTATGTTTATACAATTCACGGTTAGTGCATTGTGTCTTTGCGTTGCTATGGCTGCACTCATATTTTATGTAGATGACCCAATTGATCGTCCGTACTATGTGGTCTACCTTTTAGCTGTGCCAATGCAAATATTTCCTACCTGTTACTATGGCAGCAATTTCCAATACCTTTTCGGTCAACTACATTATGCGGTGTTTCGCAGTAATTGGATGGATCAGAGTCAAATGTACAAGAAGCATATGATTCTATTCACTGAACGTTCAATGAAACCCACTACTGCAGTTGCTGGCGGTATGTTGCGCATACATTTGGATACATTCTTCTCAACTTGCAAAGGTGCATATTCATTGTTTGCTGTCATCATTAGATTGAATAGTAATTAATGTAAACCAAATACAATTTAAATGATTGTTATCTAAAAGCAAATCGTTGCGTTTTGGTGATTTTCATGTAAATTAGAAAAATATTATATCATATGCAATTAATAAAGTTGGAAAAAATGCTTTTTTTTGTTTAATATTTTAATTATAGTAATCATGTAAGTTAACCTTAATAGCACTATTATACTGAAAGAGCAACTTGATGCATAAAAATTCTATATAAAGACACAAAAAATTATGAAAATTTATAGAAATGAAAGTTAATATATTAGTTTCCTATTTTGTTAATTGATTTGATGATGATATAGTACAGTTTGATTAAAAAGTATATAAATATTTTATAAAGACACAAAAAGGCCGCGTTGATCTATGAGCTATTAAAAAAATTAAGAGAAATAGAAGTTAATATTTAAGTATTTTTTTTTATTTTCTTTAAAATGAAGATAATGCAAGTTGGACACGATATAAGATTTAAGACATTGTGTTAATGCTTTATGATGTTTTTGTGCTGTCAAGATGTTTATAGTAGTGCGAGAATCTTGGCAGCCAAATGAACCCTACATATAGAATAATATTTTTGTTCTATATTTTAAACGCTATACAAGAGACTCGCTATACCTACAAGAGATATTAAAATGATGGAGCCTTCGAACAGTCTAATAAAATTGGAAAAGTTATTATCAAAATTATTTTATTTAACAAATATTTCTTGCTTAAATATTTTTTGTTTCCATCACCTTCAACTTTTTTGTTATTGTTTATTTTAGCTTAAAAAACTAACAATAAGTGAATTTTAAAAACTAAATTTATTTTTTTCCTTAGGCCATATATTTGGAATAAGAATTGAATCATTAAATAATTTAAAATTAAAGTTTTTTCTGTTAAATTTTTTTTGCTGCCCTGAGTTAGGTTAGGTCGCAGTGGGGACCTTGTGCTCAAAACTCACTTGAACTCTAATAATTTCATGAATCAGCGAATCATTTCCTAATTTCATGCGGTTTAGTTAACAACATCCTAAACATTGCCTATTAAAAAAGATGTTAGGTTAAGTTGGAGTGGCGGCCTTGTATACCAAGAAAGTCCACAAGAGCTCAAAGTAATGGCCCGTTGTGGCACCACAGGAAAAAACAATGTTAAAAACTTTTTAAGCTAACTAAATATTGGTATTTTTAACTGTAATATAAAATATTTTATTATACTCATAATTGTAGCAAAAAGGATGAATCTTCAATACCGGCATCTATAAGGTCATAACGTAATAAGATATTTCCTTCACGAATTATGTGTCTCGTGAAAACTTAAACCAAAACTTTAGCGAATAAGCAAATTATTTCATATATGTACTTTATCTGTACTTTAGTTCCCTAAACAAACTAATTTTGTAAACTAACACAGTTAACGCAACAGCCTACATAACCAGCAGGAATGAAACAATTTGGCCAAAATTTAAGCTACAGATTTCCACATGTAAGGATTGCTTATTACTTATACATGTATTTGCTGTGCTCGCCAAAGCCAAAGCCTCGTACCAGGACACATATGTTGCGAAAGTGTAATGTAAGGATTTGGCAACTTTGTATCCATGTTATTAACTGACATCGATATTGACATGACATAACTAAAGACAATTGCCAGTTGCTGTATGTTAGCTTTACAGATTGAATTTTCATTCGGCTTACATGTCTTACATGTTTCTGACATTTCTATCTTTTGTCCTTCAATTTATTCTGTAGAGACTACAACTGCACACATATGACAAAACAAAACGTTATCTGGTTATCTGCTGTCAATGCGTAGATATGGCAAAGTAAAATAATTTGGTACAAATTTAATTTCAGGAGCCAAGCTTTGTGGTAGTAAATTTAATGTCATTTTTTCTGTTGCTTTTACATTTCTGAATTACACGGAAGTAAAAATTAAACTTTGCTATATCCCTATTTTACAAATGGAAAACTATGTAGTTGAGACTGGAACAAATATTGTAATGATAAATCGAATTGTTGTTTGGGATTGTAGATACACTCCACATATTTATAGATTAAAAATTGTAACTACTTGCCTATGATATTTATGGTAATAATTGCTGCTTCTATATAAGACATATAAAAGGAAAAAGCCATTATAGCATAAATATAGTATTTTATCCAACTTTTATTCTGCGATGTTTTCAAGTTTGTCATAATAATGGTCTTCTACAGTGCTGGTGTTTCTAATAATGTACTTCAAATGTGTTCAATATTCTTAAATTATTTTTTATTACTTACTGTTATTATAACTGTTATAACTGACATTTGTAATGATAGCAGGAATAGCTTACGGTTGTCCAAAGGTGTTGCAAAGACATTTCTTAAGCCCTGTGTCTTTTTGTAATAGAAAGGTTGGGTTTTTGTTTCATTTTTACTTTATTTTATATATATTATTATGTTAAAGCTATTAGAGCCAGTGCAGTTGAGTACTTTTACTCTTTCTTAACTTGAGGTATTTTCAAAACCGCTCTCTACGCTTTGATTGGATTACATATCATCACATTTGTTTACATATTTTCAAGTTAAATCAGAATTGTTTATAATTTTGAATTTATTACATACAACTTATATTATAACAGGTTTTCCTGTTCTGAAATCAGAACAAAAATGATCAACGTGTGATATTAACGTTACCGACTAAGCTAAGTGGGTATACTAAGAAATCTATATCAACGATACAGACTAGACCACGTTGGTATATTAAGGAATCTAGAGCAACGTTACCGATCAGGCAACGTTGTTCTTTTAAGAAATCTATATTAACGTTACCGAATAAGCCACGTTGGTGTGCCAGGGAATCTACGTTAATGTTACTGACTAGGCCACATGATATGTAATTTTTGGAGGTCATACATTTTGAAATGAGAATATTGAGAAGCTAAATAATTTTATGTCTATGAACTAAAAAAGTAATGTCATAATAGTGTCATTAACTTTTAAAGGAAGTCTGTTTGAAATATAAAGAAAATATATATATACATATATCACTGAAAATTTGTCGTATCTACGCCCATCGTTGTCAATATGGCACGAATGTTCCATGTCAGAATGTGTCAAGCTGACAAGAACATTTTAAAGATTATCATGCATAAATAGAAGAACGTTTCTGAAAGTGTAAGTTAGAATTTCCATATAGCAACGTAGATGTCTTTTAAATCCACCTAAATGCTGCCACATTTGCAATTGTTGTGCGCTTTTATTGTAAACGAGGGTGTAATGCAAATATTGTAGTACGAGCATTTAACAAAAGTGCGCAAGTGTTTGTGTAATACTCACTTCCGTGCTGGTTTCATCTAAATAGTTTCTTCACCAGCAACTCATCCATATACAATCTAACCGCTGTGGTATTTATTA